TGAATTGGAGGTCTGTCAGATTCCAGGACGAACGTCTTCTTTGCTTGGGTCTCTATGGTGAGGGAACAGCGTCTTTACTGGGCCCTTCACGAGAACGTCACAGGTTTTCCGAAACTTGGACGTTTTTACTCTTGCCTATGACTGTCTTAGACTAGCCTGCCAATTTCCAATGTGTGAAAGGGGAAACAAATAATTCAATCAATGAGGTAAGTTACACTTCATTCATGAAAGGACAGAAATGCTGGACTCCATCCTGACAGACTACCACGTCTTCCATTTGAGGGGCAGCCCAGGCGACTGGGGCCACCAAGTCATGGCCCGACGACGAGTGTGGTCTATCATGTTTCACAAGGAAAAGGTTGAGGTCCTTCAGAATCCAGCGGAGATCTACCAAGAACTCTGCCGTGCCGTCAGGCATGCCATGGGTTTTCTGCCCTTGTCGGCTTTCTTTGCAGACACGTCTGAGAAAGACATCCTGGACACCGAGAACAGGCTGAGGAAGAATCGATCCCTCCCTGCAGTTGCGAGCCCCTCTGCAAACTGGAGATGTGTGCTTTCGGAGAACCAGCAGAGGCAGGGCGTGCAAGAGCCAGGGTGATAGCTAGTCGTAGTGGATAGACACAATGCCATGACAACTCGAGGGCTACCCCTGCAATGAATCAGGTTTCTCACGAGCTACGAAGCCAAGTGGCGTCTGCGCACCGGCTCCTCTCCTGACCTTGACTCTGAGTGTGTCTTTGACTTGAGTCAAAATCCTGACCACTACTGCATTTGGACCTCCCAGAACGGGGTCGTGCCTACGTTTCGGCGCAACAGTTGCCTTTGGGTCCCTTTCCTGCAGCGTGTCCTTACTCCTTCGGAAAAAGGCAGCCTTATGGGCTTCAACGGGCCTTCCTTGGATCATGTTCGGCCGCAGACTCTAGGCAATGCCATGAGTTTGCAAACAGTCGGCCTCATGATCATGGCGGCCCTTCTCAGTGCAAAGCCTTTGCAGTCTGCATAATTAATTCGTAGTTAGATGGCTTGGCTTTAGCCGATCCAGTTCAAGAAGAGCACGTGGGAAAGAATAAATGCCGTTCACGGGATGGCCTAGCCAGTGCACTTCGCAGGAATGGTGCAGTGCAAGAGTGACTGACCTGATCCTCCCAGGTGCGGCTCTGCCTCCAAAAAGCGTGCTTACACCGCCAACTGGTGGCCCATCCATGGTTTCCTGGCTTTAACTGGATTAAATATATTGATTGACAACCTCCTAGCAGTAGTAGTAGTAGTCGTAGTAGTAGTAGTAGTAGTAGTAGTAGTAGTAGTAGTAGTAGTAGTAGTACAGTAGTAGTACAGTAGTAGTAGTAGTAGTAGTAGTAGTAGTAGTAGTAGTAGTAGTAGTAGTAGTAGTAGTAGTAGTAGTAGTAGTAGTAGTAGTAGTAGTACTAGGCAGAATGTAATTAAGTAAGGTGTTGGCTTCTTGTGAGTGTGGTTTTCTGCGGTGATGGATTTGGGTTTTTGGCCCTGGGTTATTTCCGAGATTCGTGGGTTCGTGGTTGGGTTCGTCGAACCTGGGCTGCTAACGTTCGCAGCAGCCTGGCTGGCCTTTTGCGGTAGTCTTGGGACAGGGTTCGCGTAAGGTTCGTGGCAGGGTTCGTGGTTGGTTTCTTTTCTGGGCACAGGTTCTGGGAAAAGAGGGTTCGCGTAACCCTCTGGCCTTCGCGTAACCCCTGAGGTTCGCAACAGCACTGGGTTCGCGTAACCACCGGCTTTGGTTTTTCAATCAATCATTGGATTAAGTCATATCATATGATATGTCTGTAGATGACGGAAGCATTCCAAGCATTTTGACTGACTCCATATAGTGGCCCTTATTTGTCCGGTGCATAATGCGACCGACTCGCCAGGCAGCTGCAACCACGAGAAGAATGGCACGGGGTCCTGCCAGGCCGGCATTTTGCAGGAGCATGAGACCATGTGATGTCAGACTCGTGCAGTGGGACGTGGTTTCAGTCGCATCCGTTTTAGCTTCGAGACGTTTCAATTGAATGATTGCACGGCCCCTGCAATAGCCCAGCAGCAGCAGATCAGATCCAGAACAAAAACCTCAGCGTGGCCTGTCTCTAATAAGTAAGCAGGCAGCCATGGCTGGGGGCCCCCCCCCGGACCCGCGTGTGCATCCATGCCAGGAGGTCCCTCATGAATCGCACTTGGAGCTCAGGTGGTTGCAAAAGAGGGGAAAAGGTGTCCTTCATCACAAGCTGACTGGTGAGATGGTGCCCTTACCTGAGGGAGCCACAGATCTGCATTTTGATGTCAATGGCCGGGCATTCCTCAAGGGTCCTGGTCTCTCATCTGTGTGGGCGACTACTGTGTTGAAGCATCATGTCTTCAAAGTACAGACGGAGCAGACTGAGCGTTGCTTTGTATTGACAAAGACTTCGACTGGCGGTGTGCAGCTGGAGTGGCTAGACGTTTTTCGGAAAAGTTACAAACTGCTGTATCCCCAAGATGCTCTACGCGGTGTCTTTGCTGACACACATTTGGTGCTGATGTGGTATCAGTATGTTCCAGAGAGCGAAAACAAGTGTTTCTGGCAACTCCTTGGCCTTTCGCGACTGCCGCGCAAGGACCTTCTCAAGCAGCTGCGGAAATCGTGGCTACCAGCATTTGAAGCCAGGAGGAATGCTGCCGAGGCCCCTCAAGCTCGTGACATCATCTGGCCCAATACGACATCTGAAGAACAAGACAGCACGAAGTCTTATGCCCACGATGCCTTTGCATCCAGCAGATTTGTGGTTTTCCTCATGGTGCTTTTGGCCAAGCATTACGAGGAGCCTGTCGTTTTTTTGAGGTCCCTCCTGAAACTGCTTCTGCCGGCAGAACACACCTTGCGAGTGAACCGGCAAAGACAAAAGCTTGACCTGGTCAATGGAAAGATCGACCCAGACCCCCGGCCGGATCCAAAAAGTAGATCCGCATGTTGATGGTCCGAAGTAGAACCACTCCACTAAAAGTGGATCCACTACCATTTTTTGGTGAAACAGCGAAACCTACAACTTGAGCAAGAAAAGCAAACGTCCTGAAATTTAATCCGAAAATGTACCACACAGCACATTCTTCTGGTTTGTAGTCCAAAAGCTGGCGACGGCAAGCAGTTGGTACGACTTGCAGGGTTCATTACCGTTATTTTCACATAGTTCGGTGACTTTGGCACGGCGATAATTGAATATCGCTGAAATTCTAATGCTCATGATGTTTGAGCCGAATTTGAGCCAAAATGTTTAGTCTCTCCTTACTCTCCCCTCGTCTGTATGTCTGTATGTGAGATCGAGCTCATGGGGGTGGTTCGTCTCGGGTGGTTGGGGTTCGGGTGGTCGGCTTTGAAAGGCTTTCGGTGCTTCTCTGTATCAATCGGGTTTGGGGGTTGATGGAAGCCTGCAAAACGTGTTGATTCCCGAGCATAAAGCGTGGATTGAATTGGATGCCTCAGACCCCAATCAGATTATGACTTGTTGATGTTTCGTTGGGAGCTGGGCCTTTGGGGGAAAAAAGCTTGGGTCAGCTAGACGAGTGTTGGATTTATAACTGCAGGAGCTTTGGGCTTGAGGATATTCGATGTGAAGACAGAAGGTTTGGGACTTTGGGATTTTTCAAGGCCAGAATACCCGAAACCTGAAACCTACACCCTTAAACACCCTTAAACCCTAAACCTCCGACCCTAAGCTCTTCCCTGTTAACCATTGAGCCTCAACACCCCGAACAGCCTGAATCCTTAATAACCATAACTCCTAAACCCTTGTAAACTCTAAATATCGCCAAAACCCATAAACCTTAAACCCTAATCCCCGTAAACCGAAACCCTTAACTAAACCTTCCAACCCTCCCGGCTCTTTCCGGTCATCGGTGATCCACGACGATCTGCGGTCGACTCTTGGCAGGGCTCGGCTCTTTCAGCTTTATTTCAGTGATATGGGTTACTTTTGAGAAGAGTACACCCACAAACGGTTTAGACATTACGAAAGGTCGAATAAGCTCTGCTCTGCGGGAGATGCACTGTACACTAAGTGAAGCCGCATCTGAACCATCGGGAATCCAGCATCTCCTTGTTTGTGGTTTGCGGGAATCAAAGCGACAAGCCTAGACGAGCTAAGCCGACCCAGCAGTGTCCATCAAATCTCAAAAAGATCTTAGGAAACCACCAAGACTCGTGATTCGTTTCTTCGGCCCATCCGACCAAAGCCACGGTCCTTTGTTGGTGTAGAACTAAGATCAAAGGTAGGGTTCGAGGTTTTGGAGCTTCAGATCGTTCAGATTTCTTGGGATATTCAGGGCTGGTCACCTAAACCTGAAGCCCTAAAGCCGAACCCCTAGCCTTGAAACCCAAAACCCGAAACCTGTTCCCAGAATCTTTATCAAGCCCTTGAGCCCCAACCCCTAAACCTTAAACCCTAGACCTTAAACCCTGCACCCCCGACCCTAAACCCTAAGCTCTTCAAAAAAGCAAAGCATGTGGCAATCCTTCCCTTCTTCCAAGCCCCTAAACCTAGGACCGAAAGCATAACCGAGAAGCTCGGCCACAAGGGTTCGATCGCACCCATCCATGCCTCGGGCCGGTTATCGTCCATGTTATATGTCAGCATCATAGGAACTGGTTTGAACAAAAACTGCGTCAAATCTAAGTGGATGCCGATTTAACAGGAAGACCATCGGGTCTGTTGCATTTCGAGGATTGCAGAGCGCTGGGAATAATGCGGCGAAGCTGCAGAGTAAGCGACATGACAGCAGTTCAGAACTCTTCAGAAAGCATACTCCCGAGCATCTCCAGCTTCCGATAAACCGCCATAGCCCAGTTTCGTCCCTAAGCCCTGAGTTGAACTGGGTGTCAAAAACCAAAGCTACTTTCTCAAGCATCCGAAGAAAGTGTGACCGATCGAATCAGCTACCATCGAAAATGGAATTTGAGGATTGGGCGAAGCTGCTATATATGCCAAGTGGCAGCAATAAGCGACTCGACCATTTCAGTCGTCAGCAGATGAAGTAGCCAAAGCTTCCAGCATTTGCAACTTGCGGTAGACGGCCATTGCCCAATGTCGACGATGAACTGAACGACAGACTTTAGCTATGGCCCCGTTATAGGACTCATCCACATAAGTAGAATACATCCTGGGATTCCCTTTAACCCTGGCCTGAGAAGCAAGGTGGTACATGAGGTGGCCCTTTGGTAGGAAAGGCACACCAGCCCTTGAGCACAGCTGTATGAAACGATGATATCGTGTATGCAAAGCGTCGCATGCGTCCTGCGGAAACACTCTGCTGTGCTCGTTCATAATCTGATCGAATGCTTCGGCTGCACACCCTGCCCGACGAAGTAGATCAAACATGTGCGAATTTTCATTGCCCTCAAGCACCGTCTTGTATTTCTCAAGTGTCATGACCACAAAGCGAAGTAGACCGTGTGTCTCCGCTGCTTTGCACTTCAGGGCTTTCTCTGCAAGCATCGTGAGAGTGAGGTTCCACACCTACGAAGTATATTCGGTTTCGGGAATCCGGGTTAGCATTAGCGGGCTCTGGTCTTCGATGTTCTTTTACACTAATTATTCACTAGCAAACTATTTGGGCTCCGGACAAACATCCCTCGATCTCTAATCCAGCTATCCCAAAAACCCTAATACTAAATAGCAGCCTATGCTGGCTATTTCGTTATCTGGCGATGTTTACCTCTAACAGAGTCACTTAAGTTTGTTGTAGTTTAAACTTTAATGATCGATATAAGCCTTCAAGTCTTCGGGCACCACATAAACTACTCATCAAAGCTTAGATTCACGACTATATCATTATTCTTATATCATCCTTTTCCTCCCCACCTCAGAACCTTTCTTGCTCCACTCCTTGTCTGTGGCACGTCTGTGCTTGTAGAACATCCACAATTCCGCTTTGAGGGCCATCAAAGAAAGCTTGTCATTTTCTTCTTTGTCTAGAACCGCTGAATTGCCAGGCTTGTAGATATCTGTGCTCAGCAAAGCACGAAGAGCAAATGTCAGATAAGTAGACATGGGTCCATAATGCCACGTATGTAGCAAGTCGATGCACCAAGAACTCAAGCTGACTCCAGGGATTTGCAAAAGCGGAGACACGTGCAACACACGGCCGTGTTCACCAGCCACATAAAAGATGCAACTGAATGGACACTGCTGCTGCTCGAAGGACCCCACATCTGGCAACAGTGTAGAAGGCTCCAATCTAGCCCATTTCGGAAGCCCTAGCTGTTGGAATGCTTTCAGCAAGCAGCGTCCACGGCCACGGCCTTTTTTTCGATAGTGCAAAAGCTTCGAGATCTGCTGTTGAACATCCACATCCGGAATCGTGACCTCCTATGTTGTTGACGACTACATAGACATATTAATATTAGGACGTACGTGAACATATAAGGTGCTATATGCGGAATCCAGCGACCGGACACAAACGAATTTTGAGTGGCGAAAAATACTTAAAACATCATGAAGCCTGTAAGCTATCTAGTGTTTTAGAACAAAGGTCCTTGAAGTTCTTCGACAAAGTAGCTTCGTACTTGCTTTTGTCATACAACGGGAATGGGCACGATCTCGCACTGAAACCATCAATGTTTGGAAGCTGTGCTTTCTTGACCAGACAACAAGGACAGGCATGATGATTATGGGACCACGTTCTCAAAGCAGCTATCTCGACCAAAGCAGCCCAATCAGCTTTGAAGTCAATGATCGGCAATCTCAAATCCGGATGTTGTTCACTCAAATCTCGCCTGAAAGCTTCCAATAATGGAAACACGGAACACCAGCCTCTGCAGCCACATCCACAAAGTTCCGATAATCCTGTGTTTGTCGTGAACACATCTGCGATATGTACTGGCTTCAGCCAGGACACAACCTACATTATATACAGAACACGTAGGACAACCAACGGTGGTGTTTATATTCATACATATAAATAAACATACATATATATATATATATATATAAACATACATATATATATCTATATATATATAGACAATAAAAACCCACACACACACACAGCAATATCCGTATACCCATATAGCCTTTCACACTCCAGACCTTAAGTTTCAGTAGCAGGGCTATGTACAAACATACATATACATACTCATGTACTTATACATATGCATATACATACACGTACATGCATAAGCACATGTACAGGCGACAAATATAACATAAAATCTACTATGTGCTGTCGGGGTACGTAGCAACCAAACAAGCCTTTGCTTTTTTGTGCGTAAGTTGGTGACATAAAACCCCAAAAAGTTCTCGTTCTTGGAATACTGGACCCCGTCGAAATATACCGATAGAGGAACGATGTGTTCTCGCGAGAAACCTTGGCGGAGAGCTTCGATCGTGACACAATGGCGTTCGTATAGATCCCCTAGCTCCTCGTCGTGTTTCAAGAAGTCTTGCACAATCTCAGGAGATGCTGTGCCTTCAAGAATACCAAGCTCCATCAGCTCATTGCGTATCATGATCGAAGTCACACGGGTGGGGTGCTGTACGAGGGTCCTTCCAGCAGACTTCTTCAGATGCATCGGAACTGAAACCATTTCCACATCAGGCTCCGGGAATTCTTTATTCAGATGGCACCTGGGGCAAATTACGAGAAAGGACCAGGGACTTAATCAATGGAGTGTTAGATTCGGATAGAGGATTCAGGGATATCATTCTCCAGGTTTTGCAGAGTTTTGCACACAGTCCCTGACCTCAGATGTTCAGCTGCATGACGACTAGCGGACCGAGGGTTCAAAGCCAGATCCTCAGCACCCTCACCCCCTGATGCCACGTGCCAGTAAGCAAGCTGACAAGTGTCGGTTGCCGTAGCAGAACCATCCAAAAACCTCTCGACCAGCAGACGTCGAAACTTCTTAGCAGCCTCGATGTCCCCGCCTTCACTAGGCAACGTGTCTTCATACTCATGGAGATCAAAGTAACAGGAACCTTGGGTTTGGTCTGCTGCACGAGCACGTTTGAAGCTCATCGACCATGGACACCCCACCGTGCTACGATACAAATATATATGCACAGCCCGCTCTATAATAAGCCTTAAACCTAAACCTTCCAGCCTCAACCATACGTACACCTTGAGTGTGAGCTCCCGAAACACCACACCTAAAACCCTTGACCTCAAACTTAAACACTCTAAATCGTAAACTCTACACAAAGTAGTTATCATCCTCACCATACGTACATGTATTCGGTTCCTACATGAGCCAAACCTCGATGCAATTACTGTGCGGCTTGCACCGGCTGTGTGCATCATCATGGTCACTCACAGATCGAAACTAACTTTTCAACGGCGTTGCCCCGGAACTTTGTTCCCCAGCACCGCTCCCAGCACAACTTTTTCATTGTGTGAGAACGAACCCACACAAGCAGCAGCCAGGATCCTCAGGATAAACCAGGGAAGGTTTTGGATTAGGACTATAATAACCCGAGCAGTAAGATGTCAACCGTAAACCAGGATACCCACTAGGAGCTTCTGGGGGGTTTCGGGGTTCCGGACTGTTGATTTAGCTATACTCATGACGATCTACACCTTACTAGTAGTCCTAGGGGTGAAACGATCCGAGCCTAAGCACCTAAAACCTTAAAGCATATCTCAACCCTAAGCCCCATGCCCATATTCTTAAATAAAACTCGTCCATACGAATCCTCTATGCAGCTGCTTGTGGCACTACCCGGCAAGCTTCGAAAATCCAAGGCATGGCACAGCGATCACACTGAGCCGATGCTTCTCGTGGAGGCCGATCGGGCCAGGGCTTTTTTGGCTTTGCCTTTTGCCTTGGGGGCAGGGCTAGCTTTAACACTCTCGGAAGCATTCTTCTTGGCACTAGCCATCTGTTGTATCTGTACACTAGCCTCTGCCATAGCAGAGATTTTCGGCCCCAACATGCTCACGAAGTCGCAAAGCTTCGGCAAATACTGATCCTTGTACTCCTTCTTCACCTTCTGCAGCTCCTTCGCGGAGAGAACAGCCACCTTCATGGACTGAAAGAAGGGGTTCTCGGCGTAGAGCTCGAGCACCCCGACCCGGCATTCCTTGTAGCTCTTCACGAACCCAGCCGCCCACTGCCATGCGGCGGGATCGCTCTTGCCCATCTCGATCGTGATCATGCTCATAGCATTGTCGCTCGCTTGCTCCTGGGCAAGAAGCTCTTTGACCTCCTTCTCCTTCTTGGTCGTGACGGAACCGCTCCCGCCCGCCTTTGCCCGCTTGTTCGGATTCGCAGGATTCTCGGTAGTAGGAGGCGGCGTCGGGAGGTCAGTGTCGATCGGCTTCGGCTCCTGTTCCAAACCCCTCTTCTTGCCGCCCTTGCACCCACCAGCATTGCTGCCATCCCCGCCGGGCTTGGGCTGGGCTCCTGGAGTCTTTTCGAACAAAGCAGCATAGCCTTGCAAACCCAACTCCGAGGTCCTCACTTCGGTCTCGGTCACATCAACCAACCTCTTGCCGTTCTCCGCCGCGTAGCATCGCATAGCTTTCGAGAGCTGCACCTTTTCAGACCATGAGCCTTTAACCGGCTCCTTGACCTCGACAGTCACAGTACTCTTCCATTCCTGGATGTTCGATGTGGTCAGGAGCTGCTCCACCCACAGGTATGTGTCAGCTTTCAGCCAGGCGTTGTAGACCACACAGTGTTCCTGATTGGCAGTTGTAGGTTTTGGGGTTTCTTAGAACACATTCTCAAAGTTGAAGGGTAAAGTGTGTTTGTACATTCTAGGGTCCTTGGGGGTGTAGTGGGTGGGAACTGAAGCTCCTTAATGTCGGGCTTAGGGCTTATTGTTAGGCTCCGGGTCTTGTCACTAGTCAATGCTAATCGGCTCCTATATAGATATATAAGGTCTAAGAGTCTAGGCTTCCGGGTGGGGAGGGGCTCTTGAGTTCTTTGTGCGAGGCTAGGCTTGATTATTTGGGTTCGGCCTTGAGGTCGTCACGGCAGCACATCTGAGTGTAGTTCTTCGCCTGTTGCATGGCGATGGGTTCATCGACCCCACCTAGGACCTGACAAATCTGAAGGAAGGTCTTGTAGGTGCCGAGCTCGTCCTTTCTTTTGCGAAATGTATTGACGGTGCTGCGGGTAGTCGTGACGAATTCAAAGTCCCGGGAGCATGCCCAGGCCCTCCTAAACTCGAGCTTGAAGGAATCTAGGAGTAGGCCATAAAGGTTTTTCACGTCCGGTTTGAAGCGGATGGCACGGCCCATAGATTGTGCCGTGGCACCACGGGCCGACATGTCTGTGTTGACCGTGGCCCAGTAGCTGGGGCCTTCCTTTGTAGCCTCAAGCATGGAAAACGTCACCTCCTTGGGGTCCTTGTTGATGCTGTTGGCATAGTTCTCGATCGCGATACGAATGGATTCCGGGGTCATTGCAGGTGGCTTCTTATCCTCGCTGGCGGCGTCTGCTGCCTTCTGCTCGCCGCTGCTGGTGGCGTCTGCTGGCTTCTGCTCCTCGCCGTTGGTGGCGTCACTTGGCTCATTATTGTTGTCACAGCCGGCGGCGTCTGGTGCCGATGCCGTGTCTGCGGGAGCTTCTGGGAGATCGGTGACGACGAGGGTCTCTGGGATTAGGGTTTCGCGGGTGTCCATGGTGTCGATGCGGGCGGGCTGTGACTCAGCCATGATAGCTAGAAGCTATCTATAGCTGCTGCCGCGAAGCCTTTGGATCTCTGCACTACGTAGCTTGCGAGCTAGGGCATAGCAGCATGCATCAGCAAAGCATATCATACAATACATACATACAAGACAAGGTGGAGCCTCCAAGAGGGTCTGATTGATCTCATATAGTAAGTATATATGAGCTAATATATGTTCGATACAGGACTTTTTGGGCTCGTGACACCTCATCACACCTCATTGGGGGGCTCATCGGGGATCCAGTTTGATACCTCATTCTGTTCATTGCCTACTTAGAGGACACGACAGCATCTACCATACCCTAGAGGGGCTCATTGGGGGGCTCATCGGGGATCTAGTTCGACACCTCATTGTGCAGCTTTGCTCTTGCCGGAGCTCTCTAGCTTGCCTATTGACATAATCAGCAGCAATGAGTGGCTTGGTACGTTGCTACTCGACGAGCATGCAGACTCTGCGGTTTTCCGCTGTTGCGAACACATAGATCATGAAGTCAAAATCACCTCGCGTCGGCTATGGAAGCCCACAAACCTTAAAGTAGAGCCCCTACATGGGTATCTAAATCTGGATCCACCGATATATTGGTTATTAGTAAAATACTCATACCGAAAGAGTTTAGGGTTTAGGGCTGAAGGGCTTAGGGTTATGGTTTGTGGTTAGATGGGCCGGTCGGGCTCAGATGAAAGGTGGTATCCAGTTAATAGATTGCGAGGAAGGTAGCTAACGGATCTAATTATGGATCCATTATAGCCCACGAGCGAACGGATCTAATTCTGGATACCTATATAGCCAGCCAATCTGATATCTATATAGGGAAGGGTGTAGATTCTGAGTTTAAACCTATATATATATCCGTACCAAGGCAATAAAAAAGGCGGTATCCAGATAATAGAATGCAAGGATGAGAGACGAGAGGCTCTAATTCTGGATCCAAACAACAGCAGGCGGGCTCGATTGCGGGATCTAGTTCGATCGTAACCAATCAACATATATATATATATATATACATACATACAAGCCCTTATAGTTTCCAGATCCCCGATCGAGGCTATATTCTATTATATATATAAGGTGTGGGAGGATTTTTGGAAATGTAGGGATTAGGGCTTAAAGTTATACTAAGCAGGATTATAATAATTAATGGATAGGGAGCTATACATTATTCGGGGGGGGTCCAATTCTGGATCCAGAAATAAGGGTAGAGGGTACACACATACATTATCCGGGTCGGGTTTTAATTATGTATATATGATCTATAATTTTCTCGCTTCTTCTATATATATATATACATATATATCTATCTATATTTTATTCTACAGAATCGGGACTAGGCTTACAGCGATTCGAGGGATCCATACTACGACGTGGCTCGCACATCATCTGCGGATGGCTTGGCGGCTCCAGCTTTTCTGGAGCCTGGTGGAATATAAAGCGAGCACGGCATTCAAGCGGGAGGGTTTTGCGAGGATGAGGTTCTTCTGGGCCTCTGGGTCTTCGCCTTACATATATATGTATGTATATATATATATATTTGTTTATATATACACTGAAAGAGAGAGAGAGAGAGAGAGAGAGAGAGAGAGAGAGAGAGAGAGAGAGAGAGAGAGAGAGAGAGAGAGAGAGAGAGAGAGAGAGAGAGAGAGAGGGATGACAGGGAAGAGAAAGCTGTGTAGGTAGATCTAAATGATATGGATTGGTGTATATGTTACATTAGCTTATTAGTAGATAAATATATATATATATATATATATATGTATATCTACAGACGTCCACGTCTCGCCATGTAAAACATATACTATGTATACAGTGTACGATAACACACCAGCAGCTATAGTAGCTAGCACTCTCACCATTGTTGACTGTCGGTATATTAATACATATGTATCAGTCCTATAGCGAGAAGACGACAGTGCAGCAGCTTAGCACATAGCAGAATACCTGCTGGATACATATATATATATATTCGATGGATGACAGATCAGACCAGTCTGCGTACAGTCATGTATCCCAGAAGCCTCGAAGCCATCCAGCGATATTGCTTTGCAATTCGAGGCAGAATCGAGCTGCATCGGTGGAGACTCAAGATTGGGGTCAGGTGTTGAGGTTGGTACTGTCCAAATAACGACCATCTAGTACTACAAAGTTTCAAGGCCACAATCCCACGTGTAGCTAGAGGTCGAAAACCAGAGTAGCTCCATCCTCAGCTATAGCTCCTAGCGGCTGCCGTTCAGGAAAATCAGATCATGCCTCGAAGCTAGCCAGGCCACCCAAACTACTAGCTGATACTAAAACCCTATCAGACGAATGTTTTAGCACAATTAATACATAGATATGTATATGTATACCATACTCCCCAAAGATCCTACTCAAGTTGGAGGCCCGAGGACTGTAGTCTGCGGTGGCAAACTATTGCACCAAACCTGAGGACAGCTCGCTGAATCCACTGGAACAAAGCAGTCACGGTTTCCATAATGTTGTGGGCTTCGGGACATGCAGTTGCAATCCTACAGGGGTAGGCGGGGACAGGACTATAGCTATGATATGCTATGATCACAATAAGCGAGATCCCCGATCCCATCCAAACCGGTCGTATGCAGGTGCTATACTAATCATCAAGTTTGTGGGATTCAGCCAACACGACAATCCTCAGGAAAGCTGCTCGTGGCGGCCACTATGCTTTCGAAGCGATCGACGGGCAACTTGTTTATGCGGGCTCGGGGTCAAGGCTTTGAGTGTTCGGGTCTTTCGGGACTAAGTATCCTTGGTTTTTGGGGTTGCGGGAAAGTTCTGGGTCCTTTTCGCTACCTCATATCATCCCCATTCTCCTGGCCAAGCAGAGCACTAGCCGCCGTGCCAAGCCCAGCGAAGCCTGAGCGAGCAGAGTTGTACTAGTTTCTAATGGGGTTCAGAGCAGAGGTGGCGTTTGTGGGGATTAAGGTTTTGGAAGTTTAGGGTTCAGGGTGATGTTAGTTCCTGTTGTACATAGCAAAAGCAGCAGATGCAAAGAGAGTCTAGAAACCTTCTTCTACTGCAGGGTCATCTTCCCCATTTTCTTCTTCATCTCCCTCGGCATCATCATCATCATCTCCCTGCGGCTCGTTCTTGGCCTGGTCATCCACGATCTGGGTCTGCGTGGGCTTCGGGATCTTGATAGGCGACTCTTTCGGCCTGGGAGTGGATATCGGCATATATGTGTATGTGTGTTTGTGCGTGCTATTTTGTGGGTGTGTGTGTGTCGGTGTGAGCTTGTCTCTACTGTATGTGTGTGCTCTTTAACATATGCGTGCAGCATGCATGCTTCGAAGTGTGTATGTGTGTATATGTACACATATGTCTGAATAATGGATCTATCTATGCATCCAACCAAGTCATGGTAAATTAAGACGATTCAAGTTGCGACTTCGGGAAGTGTTTCAAGCCAAGCGAATTGACAGTTTGCCAATCCAAAGCTGAAGCTTCCCAATCGTGGTCGTGACCCAGTAGATCATCTCGACAGCCTCTGTAGTTGATCTCCGCCGGATTCAAGTTCATGTACACATAGCAATCGGCGAAGGTCATGGCGATGTGCATCGCTTTCCTCACACTGAGGCCGGTCCGGATAACCAGCTGGAGCTTCTGAACCCACCTGCTCGTGGCATCGTGGCGATCCTCGCGAGCCTCGACCTTGATCAGGGGGTTCTTGGAGCCTTGCGTGCAGTACTTGCAGCGGATTATCGAGTACACATAGTCCTCGATAGGTTTGTCGGCCTTCGGTTTGCGTTTGCTGGCTGTCGCCTTGGGCTTCTGTTCGGGAACAGTCGGGGCCGGCAAACCAAGACCACTCTCTAGGTCTGCAGGCACGAGGTGCGGAACCGACCACATAAGACCATCGGGGAATTGAGCGAAAACCTCATCCTCTTTCACAAAGGGCTTCGAAGAAAACACCGGGCCGGTCTGGCTTTCGAGGCAGGCACGTTGCATCTCGTAGTCCCACCAGATATCGCCAGGCTGTCGCTTGTCCTGGGCTAGGTTGGGTTGTGTTTTGGCAAGGGCTTTGTGGAGCTTCATAACGATTTTTATTTGGGCTCTGAACTGTTTCAGCTCAGGGGCTTGCTCGGGCTGGGCCTTCTGCTTGGATTGGTTCTCGGGGGCCTTCTCGGACTGCTTCTCGGGGGCCTTCTCGGATTGCTTCTCGGGGGCCTTCTCGGATTGCTTCTCGGGGGCCTTCTTGTTGGAGTGCTTCTCGGGGGCCTTCTTGTCGGAGTGCTTCTCGGGGGCCTTCTTGTCGGAGTGCTTCTCGGGGGCCTTCTTGTCGGAGTCCTTCTCGGTGGCCTTCTTGTCGGAGTGCTTCTTGGGGGCCTTCTTGTCGGAGTGCTTCTCGGGGGCCTTCTCGTTGGACTGCTTCTCGGGGGCCTTCTCGTTGGACTGCTTCTCGGGGGCCTTCTCGTTGGACTGCTTCTCGGGGGCCTTCTCGTTGGACTGCTTCTCGGAACCCTTCTTGTGCTTCTTGCGGGTCTTCTCCTTGGACTGCTTTTCGGAGTCTTTCTCGGCGGCTGTGTCCTTCTCGTCCCCAAAAGCGCTCAGCTTCTTCAGACTAGGTTTTCTCTTGTTGTTCTCGGGCTTCGCTTCTTCGTCGGCTTTTCGCTTGTTCCGAGGCGGCTCCGCGGCGGTTGGGCTCTCCAGCAGCTGCGTGTCTCGGCGTCGACTTGGACCAGGAGTCGGCGAAAGGTAGCCTTGGAAGGAGTAATGGCTTCTCGTACATCGTTATCATTTATTGGATGAACATAGCGATATAGAATTAAGCTGATGGATGGGCCGGGCTTTTTGGTGTTGCTCGCTCTATATATAATCAACTACAACTACCTTTTTGCTAGTTTTATTTTGATTGTCATAGTGTTGCTTGGTAATTATTATTATTGTTGCTGATTTCGAAGGTTCTGGATGGGGGCTTAATTTGTGGGGCTTCGTTTCGTTCTGGGCCTTAATGTAGGGGTATCAATAGAGGGCCTAAAAGTTTGACTTCGAAGACGTCTTTTTCAGCTTGCATCGGGCCGGTTCCATCCCTCTGGCATCACCTTTTCGACACCACGACGTAGACACACCAGGGGCCTTCCTGGCAAGATAAACCTTCGCCTCCACTTGCAGAGTTCAAGCAACGAGAGTCCAATTGCCAACGGTCAATAAGAGCAGCTTCTAAAAAACCAGCGGCTTCGGCAGATGCAAAAATACCCAGAATCCGCATCTCAGCCCATGCAGGCTTTGAAGAGTGCTGATACCCATAATCTTCGTTGCACCACCGGTGCGAAGGGCTGGAAGTCAAGCCGATCTTGAAACTGCAATTGTCACCGAGTCCACGTATGACGGTATGAGCTCGTTGCAGGATGTTGGAAGCAAGTGTTTGAGACGGCAATAAGTCCAGTTTTAAAGCAGGTTGAGCCATAATGTCTTGGATGACTCCTTTCATCCGAGGCAGCTCGGCCAAGTGCTTCGGCACTTTCAGCTTCCAATAGTTGTCTGAAACATATCGCACACCAGATGCTGTCTTCTCCAATAAGCAAGCTCGAGGATATGGTGCTATGGGCACTACAGGGATCTCTACATGGTCTGGCGGCGCAACCAGTCCTTCGATGGAGGCTGCAGAGGCCAAGCAGCACAAGGAATACTTTAGTTAGTATTTCGCACCCTGTAAGAAAGTAGACAGTATTCTCAGAAACATAAGACTGGTGTGGATCGAAGGGTCTTAGTCTCTGTTTCTGTCGTCCATAGGCCAACAACTCCTGTAGCCAGGCCTCTTCATCGTCGAGAGATTCGCCCGAATCTCTTATTGATGCCATCACAGAAGCTCGCCGCATCCGAACATGGCTAGATTCGGCTAGATATCCCTATAGTCTCTTTATCTACACCAGGACTAAACCCAGGGGTTGCTACGTGGCCCTGCAGAGCAACAAAACCTTCGGAGTTTGAAGCACTTGAAGTCCTCCACAGGCAAGCGACCCCCCCCAAACCTGGATCAATGAGCCCAGCACAGGCACACGAAACCTATTGGGGAAACCATAGCTTAGTTCCAATCCGAATTAAAGGATCCCAAGCCGACTCCAAAGGAAAGCCGAGTAACTCGCACCACTAGCCGATGGATCAAAGCCGCCCATCATCCCATCCAGCGTGTTCAAGAACCAATCGTTGGCCAGGAAAGCCGCCGCTGTTTCCTGGGCGGGATCGCGATGATGCAGCTGCCACAAGACTGGAATATAATGTATCTCAACTTCTAGAGTTGATGGGATTGCAGTGCCACTAGGATCAGATGCAACGTTTGTTACAAGGGTGGTTCCAAAGTTCAAGAATCGGCTGCTAACTATATGCAACAGTAATAGGAAGCATATATAAGAGAGGATCTAGCTATAATAAATCATCCAAAGGTCAGACAGACCATGCTGTGCGTTTGAGCTGCTGCTGCTGCTTGCCTGTACTTTTGGCGGGGGCTCATTGTCTGCGGGCTCGTTGTCTGCGGGCTCCTTCTCGGGCTCATGGTCGGGCTGACTGTTGGCTTCCGGGCTAGACATCTTATTGGTGCTGGTGCTGCTGTCACTGCTGCTGCTGCTGCTGCTTGAGCTGGAGTCATCACTGCCGCTAACATCATCTGCTCCGTGTTCCCCGTCCATGTCTTCACAGGCCACCTCATCCTGCGGCTGTGCCTTCGGCTGTGCCTTCGGTGGATCACGGCTCTGATCTCGCTGCTTGCCAGTAACTCGTCTGAGTCTACGTTTTCCCGTGGGCTCATCTGAAGCCAATCTTCTGAGAGGTTTGTGTGCCTGAACGGAAGGGCCCCAAGAAACCGTACAGAAGCTAATGAATATAGCTAATGCCCAACTAAATTTGATTGGCCTCCCTCAACCCCAGCCTTTGGAACCCATTCTCTTTGGCGAAGGGTGGCTTGCGAGTAGTGTCGGAAAGCAGCACTGAGTCGTAAGGAATTGGTGGTTGACCATGCATCCCGATCGGCTTCTTTAACCTGCTCTGCCAAATGTGCTTTGTCCTCTCGCATGCGGACAATAACAGTAGATAGAAGTAAGGTATGCGCATATATATATATATATAGAGAGATAGAGAGAGATACCGATAGGATCAGTACCAAGACCCAACAGTAGATGCTGTCCTCGTGCTTTAGCACCCCTAGCAAGGCTTTCTTGATGACGGTATCCGGAAAGTTCCACGTAGGACTCAACTGTCTGCAGTTGTTCAAGATGCCCTGGAAGAGCCTTGATTCGAGTGCACTCTAGCAGCACAAAACCCAGCCACTATCTACAGAATAAGCTTATAACAAAACAAGCCTGTACTCTATACTTTGATCACAAAGAACGGCGAGCACAGTTTCTTCTTGTCGATCTTCGCGATTGAGCGGTCCGTGGGGTACGAAGTAAAAAATCGTTTGTCTATGAACGGCAACAGAGCATCTCGCAGCTTGTGCCATTCCTTGAACCCCTTCCGACTTTTCCGAGGCTCTTCTTCGTCATCATCAGCCGCGATCGCGGCAGGTCGCTTCTTCGGAGGCATGGCAGCACTAAGCGGGCCCCGAAGTCTGAACACTGAAACTTCTCAACTTTGAGTTCTCAAACCCGCGAAAGTGGCCCTCAAGCCCGCCGCCCCAGCGACGAGCCCAGTTGACTTCAAGTGGACCTGGCCTACCTCGACAAGCTCCGACATTAAAGGGTCCTAGGGTTTAGGGTTCAGGCTTTAGGTTCGGGGGCGTATCCTTTCAATTAGCTGTCTAAACCCTCACATCCGAGACCCACACCCAGTAAGTAAGTACAATATACGGCGCATATAAATATGTTAGTGTCTTTAAATTAGGCTGGTACGGTCAAAGGCAAGCTTAACCTATATACCCTTCGCCCTTCACCCGCAAAAGAAAGCCACAGTCGACCCTCGCCAAGCCAGATATCGAGCGGGCGGTTGCCGGAGCGAGTTTTCATCACAAAACCACAACGGACGGACGACGGACGAACAACGGCCGACGACGACGACGACGGACGACGACTATGTGATTTACGGCTTCAACACAGGACGATGCTGCACAGCCATTCGATATTTCCGGTGTTCCTTCGCAGTGTATGCATTATTTTTAGATGTTACACGACTCCTCCTGTTTTATGGTTTTCGTGAGTTTCGAGGTGTTCCTTCCAATACACTACAGGTTTTAGGGCGAGGTCTGTAAAGGTTTCATATTTAGGGCCTTAGGGTTCTTCTTTTTTTTCTTTTTCCAAAATCTTTGAGCCAACTGACAAACTTTTGGCGTGCAGAGCCGTCTTGTATACTGTTATCCAAGATCTGCCACAAACTCGCATTTCGGGTGACACAACAAAATCTAGAACCCCCTGTACAAAAGTAGATCCGCGACCAAAGGTGGATCTAGAAAGTAGATCCGCCCGGGGGTCTGGGTTCTGGTGGAGTGCGACCTCCGGGGCCAGGTCACCCGGGCCAAGGCGCCGGCTTCACCTCGTGCCACTGTGCACCAGGCACGAGCCATCGCTGCCGATCTCTGGGGAGCTCTGCCGTCCACTTTCCGGCACATTGATAGCGTGGGCGCCGAAGTGCAGGCTCTCAAAACCAAGCACTCTTGCTTGCTTCGGGCGCTTCCTCGCCCTCCACGCCGCCCCATCCGTCAGCCTTACATCACAGCCGCATCTGTCACTGCACTCGATCGTGTTCGGCATGCGCGAGAACAGCTTCCTCGGCTGCGAACCAACTTGGAGTGGCAGCAGCGCCGCTTCCTTCTGCAAGTCTGGCGACGGGGCTGCACCCGCCGAAGCTCTGACTTTGCACCCCCGCGCCCTGACCCGACTGGAATGCAGCATGCCCGCCTTCTGCTCCAGGCCTGCAACCTGCATGTACGGGGTCTTCAGCAGAAGGCCCACTATACTTGGCGAGGTCTGACAAGTTGGCTCACTTTCGCACTCTTACTCTGGAGGCGACCAAACACTGGGAGGCCACTGGAGTCCCTCTGGAATCCATCCGGCATCTCCACTGGGCCTCACGTAAGGCGCACGAACGTCGGTCTATTCACGCGGCCGGCGGATTCGACATTGACAGTGAGTTGGAGGCCCAGTTCCGCGACCACGAGGGGGCCAGCCTTGTCAGTCCAGCGCTGCCGAGCGATGGATGCACGGCCCTCGCCTTCCGTGCGCCGAGGCGGTTCCCTCCCTTTTGCAGATGGAACAAATGTGTGTGCGACAGGCGGCCGCCAAGGCCCCAGGACCAGATGGTCTGCGGAATGAGCTGTGGCGGACGCAGGGAGCTCTAGCGGGGCAGTGGCTCTGGCCCCTGTGCGTGCGCATCGCTCTTCAAGGACGGGAGCCATTTGATTTCAATCTCCCTGCGAATTCCCGCTCTATCGCGTTACTGAACGGTATCGCGAAGTTATGGCATTCTCACCTGCGCTCCACTGTGGGAGGCCACGTTCTGTCGCGGTACGAGCCTATGCAGCTTGGGGGCCGTAGAGGTGTCCACACGGGCTTTGCTTTGGCCGCCTTCCGTTGTGCCTGGGACCTTTCCATCTCGGCTGGACGCTGTGTTGCCGTTGTCTTTGTCGATATACAGGCCGCGTACTATGAGGCAAGCCGGGATCTCCTCTTTGATGGCTTCCCTGATGACGCTGTTCTGCCAGAGCATCACCACCTGGCTGGGCTGGTTCTCAGTCTTCAGCAGCAAGGGGCCCTTGCCGCTTTGGGCGTTGCGGAGGACGTTGTCGCACTCCTTCGCGACTGTGTCGCCCTCTCTCACTGGTCCCTTTCTGGCTCTTCCAACATTTTCCTCGCGTCACGGGGGTCTCGCCCAGGTGACGGCCTCGCTGACATCCTTTTCGGAGCCCTTTTCGCTGTTGGACTTCAGCATATCCAGCGAGCCGCCACCCGACAAGGCATCGTGCACACTAGTGCAGGTGATGAAGTTGGCCTTTCCCCAGGGATCAAACCCATCGGTTGGGCTGACGACCTTGCTGTTATGGCTGATTTTGATCGGCCAGCTGATCTTCTTGCGCAACTGCCTGAGTTGGTCGGCATCATCCTTGACACTCTCCGACTCCTCCGATTTCGTGTCAACTTGGGAGCGGGTAAAACTGAGGCCCTCGTTGACATCCGGGGGGAGGGTGCTCGTGCGGCCCGCGGCGCTCTTCTCGCCGGCGACGCCATGTTGAAGGTCTCGGATTCTGACAGCATCCGGCTGTGTCCTGAGTATAAATACCTGGGAGTTGCTCAGCTGCCTCGGGATACAGGCCGCCGCGACTGCGAGCTCGCTGCCCAGCGCGGCTCCGCCGCGGCCTCCCTTGCTCGCACTCTCCTCTGCAGCAACTGTCTGCCCTGGGAACTCAAGCGGGCCTGGGTTGCGGGACGAGTTCTGCCTTCGGCTTACTCCTCCCTCGCCCTGTCCCTAGCTGACTCAGGCCGCGCAACGGCCCCTCTTGCGGGTCTCTTTGAACGCACGGCCAGGATCCTGTTGTCCTCATGGCAGGTAGGGCACAAGCTCACCACCCCACTGCTTCGGCTCCTCGCTGACATCACTCCTCCTGACCTCGCAACCACCATCAGTCAGTGTCGGCTGTGCGTCCAGCTTTTCTGCAAAGCCCCCACGGCAGTGCGTGACATCGTTGATGCGGCGTGGAATCGGGCCCTCCCTTGGTGTCAGGCCCTCGTCGCGGCATGCATGAGGGTCGGCGTTGCGCTTGAGGTCTGGGATCCTACTTCCCCCCCTGCCGTCACGGCTCTGTTCGTCCAAGAACACGCCCGTGCTCTCCTCCGTGCCTGCAAGGCACTCAGCAAGTTCGGCCATCGTTACATTGCCTGTGCTCAGCTCTGGGAAGACCTATCTGCCCGCAAAGTCACCCAAATTCTAGGCTCCCCCCAGGCTCATCGCTGCCCTGTGTGCAGTATCATCTTCCCGAGCCTGCACGCGGTCCGAGCCCACCTGCATAGGAAACATGGTGTGCTTTCTGACGTGACGGCATACATGGCCGGCTCCGTCTGCCTCTGGTGCATGCAGGACTTCCACTCCTCTGACCGGTTGAAATACCATTTGCAATCCCACCGGGCCTGCTTGCACGGGTTGCGGGTGACGGTGGGGCCTGTCTACCAGTATGGGTCTGGCACTAAGCGCAAGGGAAGGACATCCCATAGGGGTGTACCCCCACAGCGACTGTGTGGGCCCTGCAATGCCACTCCAGCACAGCGCCGTGCTGCGGACTTGGGTCTGCCTGCTGATGAGGAGGAGCTGCAACAGGAGTGGGATGCTGTGCAGCGATCGCCGGCCCTCTCCGACCTCGTCCCCGGCAACTTGCACCGTGCCACTGAGGGGTCTTCCCTCGTCGCTACCACCCTTGCCGAACCTGGGCTCTTCCCTGCTACGGCCCCATACTCGGGGCCTTCCTCCTCCTGTGTTGGCCCCTCACTTTCCTTTGAGGGCCCTCTCCCTCCTTGGTTCTCCTTTGTCGATGGGGCTACCTCAGGTCATGATTGGGTTCTGCCCACGCCCTGGTGGCCCGGGCTTCTTGCCAAGGGCGTGGTTTTTCGTCTTCCTTCATCATGGCACTGCTTCTGGCCCTTGTGGTCGGCACTGGAGTTCCTTGCTCCTTGGGAGTACCGGGCCTTCAGGCCGCTCGGTGTCCTCCGCCGTGCCTCGTCCTCCGGGCTCGGTGCTCCTGTGTCTCTCAGTGACGCTACATCCGGCAGCTGGTCTCTCCTGGGGATTGCTGCCGCTTTGGTCTCCTTCCGTATGACCTGCAAGGTCGTCCTACGGATGGGTGCCCTTTGGTTTTCCGGGCGCCCCAGCCAGCAGGGCCTTGTCCTCCTGCGGCGACTGCTTCCTTCCGCAGTCTTCCTGAGGGTCCTGTGTTCCTGGCCGCGAGCTCTGCTTCCCTTGCCTCGTCTGCTCGCGCTGTCATCGCCGGCTCTGTCCTTTCGGCCCCGCCCCCGCTCTCTGTGCGGGCTTTCTGGGCCTATCCGGCAGCCTGAGGCCTTCCGTTTGTGTACAGTCTTTCCTTCTTCTTTCGTTTCTGGCCGCAGTGCTACAGCAGCACTGCTTTTCGGCCCTCTGCACGTCGTGGTTAGCACAGGACCTTCCTCTGGCGCGTGCGTGAGTGAGTGAGTTCCGGGGTTTGGGGCTTAGTGGACCGCAAACCCAGCGCGAGCCTAAACCTTAAATTCAGAGGACCCCACAAGACCCTAAAACCCTAAGACCATTAATCCTTACTCTTAATCAATCTTTAAATCGCCCATACCTTACACCCCACAAAGCCTCAAAGACCTACTAAGAAGGAGCCCCAAGATAGTCATTCAGGGTTGAGGTACGGTTTATATGAAAACCCTACTTGGAGGATCCCGGGACTTAGTAACCAGAGTTATTGTTAAGGTGGCCTTACTTGTAATTAGTTATAACCCCAATTAAGCTTGGTACTTAACCGTACTTACTAAGTCCCATGGTCCTCCCATTAAAGAACCCTTCCAAATCCCTTTGAGGTTTTTTTTTAGAACCCTATAGTCCCCTTTAAAAGAAACCCTAAACCCTACTTACTAAGTCCCGTGATCCTCCAAGTATCGAACCTCCAAGGTTGCAGTTCGAAGGTGGATGCGTTGGAGTATGCAAACGATGGCCTGAATGGAATGGACGCCGCTTGGGACGGAAGCCGGTGTAGGGTTTAGGGGTTAGGGGTTTAGGGTTTAGGGTTTGGGGAACGGGTTTAGGGTTTAGGGGTTTAGGGTTTAGGGTAGGGGTTAAGGGTTTGGGGTCCAGGTGTTAGCACTTAGCACCCTTTTGAGGGCGGTCGAGGGTTTTATGTGGGAGGTTTCCAGGGGTATGTTTAAGACTTACTGGGGTGTATATGGGCTGCATTGTTTTTTTTGTAAAGGTCTTAATGATGGGCCTCCTCACGAACAAAAGCAAACATCGAACAACCTGCAACTTTAAGTTTAAAACATAAAACCGTCCTAATCCCTAGACTGTTCCTGAACACCAGAACAAGTCCAAGCGTGCAAGAATCCCTAATCCTCAACAGAAGAATCCCTATTCCTCAAAAGACACCAAACCTTATGCCTCAGACCCTCAACCTCAAAAAACCAAAAACCTTAATCCTTAAAGCTCAAGACTCCCCAGGAAGACATCGTCGAGCTGCTCCGCAAATGCAGGGACAGTCAAGAAAAGGCCTGGACTTGTTGAGGGCTCAGGGTTTAGCGTTTTGGGCGAGAGTTCAGTGTTTACGGTTTACCACAAGGAATGTGACAAAACTGTTATCTTAAATTGTTTTTGGAGTCCCGTATGGGCTTATCACCCACGAAACTTATGTAGAAGCGTGAATTTTCAGTATCCGAATCCTCAGGTTTCCTTATTATCATAGTTGTTAGATGGTTTTTAGTATGCTATGCCTCCAAAATACTTGATCCTGTTCGTTCAGGGCCCGATGTTATATACTTGTAGAGCGAAGGTTTCTTTTTCGATCGGGCCTGTGTTAACAGTTCCTCTTGGGCTACTGGACAGGGTTTTGAGCTTGGTGTTTTTAAAGTGTTTTTTTGGTTTTTGTTTACGGGTGTTACGTTGACACCGCAGGGGTTTTTATGATGGACGTTGTAGCCAATAACGACCAGAAGGGATAAGGTTTGTGGTACAGAGGTCCTTGATGCATTCCTTACATACCACCATTATTGTCCAGTGTCCCCAGGAATACCTTTTTGACCTTTTTTTCTTGCCGCTTTCCCTGTCAACACCGACTTGTAGGAAAACATGTGCCCCCCCACACACCTTCTGCATGGCTTGTGATCCCTGATAAGTCCTTAGAGCCCTAGGGAACGTTGCAGAATGATTTGTTTCAGGACCCGGCAGCGACCGGCGCCCACTGCGGCTTCGTGACCTTCACAGGCTGTGGGGTTTAGGGTTTCAGTGCTTCAGTGCCTGCTAAGTCCTACCTGTACCCTAGGGAATCACTAAAGAACCGGCCTTTCTAAGGATTCATATAAAGTCACTCACAATAACAATAAGAAGACTTAAAATTTTAGGTCTCTATAAGGTTGAGGTAGGTTTCACGGGTTTGGGTAAGGAAATCATAATACGGAGCCTTGAAAAGGTACTTGGAGGGGCAGGGGACTTAGTAAGTAGGTTATAAGTAGGGTTATAATTGGGGTAACTCCATTTAGGGTACTTATAACTCTACTTGTAACCTACTTACTAAGTCCCTTGCCCCTCCAAGTAGACCTTAAACCCTAAACCCCATAGATCCCTTTAAGGAACCCTACAGATCCCTTTAAGGAGCCCTTTAAGAGCCCGTCCAAGTAGGCCTTTAAGGGGTTAAGTTTTAGGGTTAAGCGGCGCTTCCGGTCTCCAGGGTTATGGTTTGGGGGGTTTAGGGGTTTAGGGTTCAGGGGTTTAGGGGTTTAGGGTTAAGGCTAGGGTTTGGGGGTGGAGGGTTTAGAGTTTAGGGGTTCGGGGTTTCGGGGTTTAGGGTTTAGCTTGAGGGTCCACGTGGGTCGCTTTAACTGCCCAGACCCCCGGGAGGATCTAGAAATTTGAACCCCTAGCCCGGGAGGATCTAGAAATTTGAACCCCTAGTCTAGTTTTGGACCCTCTACTAATACGGGGTACTTTATAGGAACACCCTTCAGGGCACTACTTTCTAGATCCTTCCGGGGGTCTGGATATGTTGTTCGAAGATGAAGGTTTAGTAGTGTGGGAACCTGATTAAGACACCTTGGGCCCTTATTAGGGCTCCCTTTATGAATCCTACTATTTTGGTGGTTGTAGGCCCAGGGATTCTTAATCAGGTTCCTACATTGGTAAGGGTTCATAAAGGTTTTTGGCTCCGTGTCGATCCCAAGCGCTGGCCTATAGAGTCTAAACCCGAAGTCTAACCCTTAAACCCTAAACCCTTAAACCCTAACTCCTAGACTCTAAACCCTAAATCCTAGACTCTAAACCCTAAACTCTAAACCCTAAACCCCAAAACTCTAAACCCCTACATAAACCCTAAACTCTAAACCCGAAGCGTTACAGGATTTCAGGCTTCGGAGATAGTTGTTGAAGCCGAGGCTTCTCCTGCCTGAGCAACCCTAGTTTAGGGTTTAGAGTTTAGGGGTTTAGGGTTTAGGGGTTGGGTCTTGGATTTTGATGTTTTGATGCTTAGGGTGTAGGGGTTTTAGGCCCAGACTGCCGGCAGGATCCGAAAAGTAGATCCCCCAATGAGGCTTCCTACAAAGTACCCTTCGTAGTGTAGGGCCCCAAATTAGGAGATCTACTTTCTAGATCCTCCCGGGGGTCTGGGAGTGGACTTGGTAGCTTTAAACCTTCTTGGTTTAGGGTTGTAATATACCCCCTAAAGATTACCTGGTAGTTCAGCCTTTTTGGGGTATTATAACCCAACTATAGTCTCAGTAATATACTGAGGAGGTAAGTTTTAACATTTTGGGGAATCATAGCCCGTATATCGGCCCAACACCAAACGTCCTTTAGTTCCACAGGATACCGGACAATTAAGCCTAATATCACTGTGGGCAGACGCCTTAGACAACATAAGCTGCAAGGCTTTAACCGCCATAGTGCAACTTCGAAATCCTGGACTCCTTATATAGCCCGTTTAGGGTTTAGGGTTTTAGAACCGTAAACCCTAAACAAATCCCTAAAACCTAAACCCCTAACACCCTACACCCTAAAGGCCCCCTTAGGGTTTAGGGGCCCCAGAAGCCGTCAAACGACAAGCTGCGAGCCCCTTCAGCAAACTGACACACCGCAAGAAATGTAGAAAAAGTTGAAAAAGCTCAGGGTTTTGGGTTTAGGAGTTTAGAGTTGATCCCTAAACCCTATAAACCTTGCACCCTTTAGTGTTTAGGGTTTGGGCGCCTGAAAACGCGAAAAACGCTAAGTCACCTTCAGCCTTGAAGCCCTTTGAAAGCCCGACTGTAGGGGCCTTGATAGGTAGAATATAAGGGCTACTTTGAGGGATTTACATATAAGGTACTAGAATATAGAGGCCTTAACTATTCTACTGTAACATTCATAAGGAAGCCCGTAGGTTTCTCGCTCGAGGCCGGCGTTTTGCCGAGATGGCGCAGAGTCTTCAAATCCATGCCGACAGAAACCAATGGCAGGCTACCAGCTCTGCTTTTCTGGGTTTAAAGGTATGGGCTTGGTTACCAGTGTTCCCCTGTTCTTTTCTTAGTTGAACAGGTAACTTTTCGTGGAAGTCGAAGGTCTAGCAAGATGCTTCAATTAGTATGACATAGGCTTCCTTATGTAGTTGGAGTTTAATATACCTGCATGCCCTGTTCGAACTATTAAAGTCCCTCTGTTAAATCGTTTGAGGGCTTTCGGCCTCTGAAACCCTAAGCGTCCATGTGGCCAAAGAGTATATACTTTGGAACTACTTCAAGGCCAAAACCCTCAACCCTATGTGGGAGTTTCCGAAAATTAGGGTAACGTAGATTGGGGTCCTTAAAATAAGGATCCTATTATTTTAGGGTATTATCTTAGGGTCCCCTATTTTCGGAAACTCCCATTTGGGCACATGGAGCCTTAGGGAAATCTTTTGACTGAGGCTCTCGGTGAAGCTTGTGCCTCGGATAGGTCTCTGCTGCGCCGCCGGCAGATGATCTCCGGTGCTTGGCCTTGGGGTTGGGCTGTCGGTATTATATATACACATAATAGCCATAATATTAAGAAGAAGGATAAGAAGACTAACAATAATAATAGTATAATAAGCAGAACAATATTACTAGCAGCAATTATTGGTAATAATCATACTTACAATAACAATAACAATATTTATAACAATAATGCTCGCAATAAGAATACTAGTTGTACACATATATGCCTACCGTCTATGTCTTAATTGGGCAGCCTCGTGCAGAATCTTCAACAGTGTATTGAGTTCGGGGTCAGGGAAGTGAAGCTTGGGACGCAACG